CTGGGTATATACCAAAAGGATTATAAATCATTTTACTATAAAGACACATACACATATATGTTTATTGTGGCACTGTTCACAATAGCAAAGACTTGGAACCAACCCACATGCCCATCAATGATAGACTGGATAAAGAAAATGTGGCACATATACACCATGGAATACTATGCAGCCATAAAAAATGATGAGTTTATGTGGTTTGTAGGGACATGGATGAAGCTCAAACCATCATTCTCAGCACACTAAAACAAGAGTAGAAAACAAAACACCTCACGTTCTCACCCATAAGTGGGAGTTGAACAATGAGAACACATGGACACAGGGAGGGGAACATCACACATCAGGGCCTGTTGGGGATTGGGGGTGCTACGGGAGTGACAGGATTAGAAGAAATACCTAATGTAGATGACAGGTTGATGGGTGCAGGAAACCACAATGGCACATGTATACCTAAGTAACAAAATTCCAAGTTCTGCATATGTACCCTAGAACTTAGAGTATAAAAAAAAAGAGAGAAGGAAAAAAAAAAAAAAAAGCTACCACTGGTGATGTTCGCCCTTTCCCGAGTCTAAAAGGCCCTGCAAACTTTTTGAAGCCCAGACTTCCAGGAAACGGATCTCAAATGTCTCTCTTTGCACTACTATCCTAATTATAAGAATGTGTGTTGTTCTGTGTTGTGGTAAACTGCTCCCACCTTTCTTTGAGGGTCATAGCCTCAGAATTATGGCAAGAATTATTACCTTGTAATGTTGCAATCTGTGAGTCAGAATAGTTGGGTTTAATATAGATGAAGAATTAAATCTAGATCTCAGATTTTTGTTTTGTTTTGTTTTTGGAGGAACTTTAAAGCAATGGGCTTTTGCTCACTAGTGTCTGAAGAATCTATTCTCCCAGGTTAAATCGGGAGCTCTTTATAGAAGGGTGCTACTTCTTTAGTGTCATCTTTCCCCAAATCTACAAATGAACAAACAAATGAGAACTTCAGCCTGAATGAGGGTGTGGGTGTGAGATTGTTTGTCAGCCTGAATGGAAATGTGGGTGTTAGACTATCTGAGAGAGTTTTGTTAAAAACTTCTTTATGTATGGCCATTCCATGATGAAAACCATCTCAAATCAGTGTAGAGCATTATATTAAATTCTAGGTTAGTAACAATCCATCTGCTTCTAAGTCCACGTCATGAAATGCTAATTGATCATGGTACTATTAGTACTGAACCTCAGTATTCTCAGTGCAGAACTTCACAAAACCAGTAACTGCTCTTTGATTGAGGTTAGCCATTTAATCAATGTGTAGCCTCAGTATCAGAGGTATTTACATAAATGATGAGACACAAGAAAATGATAACCATTATCACCACAAGTAATTAATATTCTCAGGACACTTTAGGTAATGCAATACAAGAAAAATAAGAAATAAGCAATACAAATATTGGGAAAAAATTGAAATACATATTCTTGGAAAAAGAATTATCTAAAAATTGAAGAAAATCAAATTAAAATTTTATAATATATAAGTATGTTGTGTGGAGGTCAGTTATGATTATCTATCTACACACATACACATGTTTGTATTAGCTTTTCTATATACCAGAATGAATTAGTAAGAAAATGTAATAAAAGGTACCATTCCACAGAAGTAATATACATGTAAATATTCTACAGTTAAATTTAATAATAAATTTAGAGAAAATGTATAGAGAAAACAATAAAATTCTTCCAAGAAAGCTAAAATAACTCTTGAGTAAGAACATAGAACTAGCATAGTCTGTATGAGAATCAATAGTGTTATAAAAAGACCCCTAAAATTTATCTATAGATATAATTATTTCCAAACAAAATCCTAATAATGGTGTTGAGACAAAAGTATTTCCAAATATTACTTGGAAAAAAAATGTGTGAAACCAGACAATACCATTTTTGAAAAGACTAATGAAGAAAGATTTGTCTTGCTAAATAAAATATAAATCATGGATCATTAAACTGTGAGGTAAAGGAATAAGCATTACAGCTATTAGACAGAATGCAACATCAGATATAGGACCAAGTATATATATGCTAAATAGTCAAAATGATGCTTTTAAAACCTAATCATTATATCCTTACTCTGCTCAGAACCTTCTCATGCCTTCCTAAATCACTCTGAGTAAATGCCAGTCTTCAGAATGCCTGCAGCACCCTACAGAACCTGGCCCTTTTCCTAGTACACCCCCTTCACTCATTATTCCAGCTGAGAGTACCTCAGGCTTTTGCACTTACTATTATTCTACCAAGGATACTCCCACAAAATCACACTGCTAGGTCCTCTATTTTATTTTTTGCTCATAAGTCACCACAAGAGTATGGAGGTCTCTAATTCACTCTTATAAGATAGTATCCTGTATCCAGCTGCCTTATTCTGCTTTATTTTTCCTTGCCACTTATTGACTGAAATGCATCTTTATTTGTGCATTGTTTTTCTCTTCTCACTAGAATGTAAACTTCATGAGGCAGGAAACTTGTCTTTTTTCTTCACTGCCTATGACAGCACGTAAAATCATGCTGGATTATTCTAGGCACATAATCCTTATTTTTGGAATAAGTGAATGAATGAAAAATGAATGAATTGAAACAACTAACCTAATTCAAAATGCAATCAGCTCCCTAGCTTGCAACATCACCACTTCTGGGAAAGCATTAGATTAGGACCATAGTCTCACCAAGCAGTCTTAGTGGCCCTGAAGGGTTTGAGGCTCACCCAAAGAAGAATCCAACTGTTCCATAAATACACAGCTATGGTAGAAGATGTGTATTATGTTCCATAAATACACATCTTTCTTATGGTAGAAGATACCATCTTCTTTAATTCCCCAGAGTCTACTATCATGTACTATCAGATTTTTTTTTACAAGCCATACAGGACTGTCGAAGGTACTCTGTGCTGGAAGAATAATATTAACTTTGGCTACTTCCTGCATAGTGGAATGCCCCAGTTGAACATTAATAAAATGTATTTCCCCAAACTGTTAAACAGCTGCACACCTCCATCAAGGAATACCCTTGGTTTTGTTTTAACTGTGATTCATCCCCTTATCCCTCCATTATATGTATTTCTAAATGTAAAAAGTGATCATACCTGGGGAAAAAAAATGAAAAGTAATTTTTATATTTTTGCCTCTTGTGTTTTGTACATCAAATATGTATTGCACTTATTATAAGAATGGAGTTAGAAGTTATAAAACTAATTGAAAAATAATAGAAGAATAAAATACTTAGAACCAAAGCAGGAAAGTATCACTTCAATATTAACCTCCTATCACAAAGACCTCCCTTACTTTATATTGTGTAGAAAGGAAGAACAGGACGATGATAAAATGAATTTATGAATTATACCAAAAGGGCTTATGCTGTAATAATAGAGACCAGAAAGGATTATTTGATGTTCATTTAGCAAGCAACACAGTAAAATAATTTATTCCACTGTTTGTATGTATCCTTGACTATATCTAACAAGTGACCCATTCTTTCTTAATATGGTTATTTCAAAGATCTGTTTCTCATTTTTTCTTCTTGCCTTCTCTAAAATGCATCATTCTCCACCATTATATTTTGTAACAAAATGACCCAACAATATTATTAGTATTATACGCCCTCCCCCCTCCCTGTTTTCTATGGTGGACAACAGGGACTCAGGGTACAAGGGGGTACAAAGGAACTTTATGCAAGAAAAAAGAACCAGGAACACCAGACCAAAGATGAAAAGAATGGAAAGTAGAAACTTCACATTTAGAAAGAGTGATCCAGATTATAAAGATATACCTCTAAAGTAAGAAGAAAATGCTATGACAAACCAGCAAATAACTCAATTTCCATGCCCATGAATATTAGAAAAAGTATTTTAATCTAGTTGATTTTTAGTTTGTTTTAAAACTTTATCTTAAACTTTTTTGTGTGCCTATCTTTGCACTACTTTTTTCCTCTTCTATGGCTACCATCAGTAGAAATACCATTAGAAAATGTCACAGGAAGTGTGGAAGTGTGTGCTCATTTCAGGGAACTGATGAGAAGAGGAACAGCCAGGCGTGCACTTTTCAGCTATTTCTTCTGTAGTCTCCTGCATTACAATAGAAGTCCTGATTTGCATAATCTCTTGGTTGGCTACCAGAATAGCAGTTGTCATGTTCTCAAGGCTAACAGAGAAAAAGACATGGGTCTAGCAAGGGAAGGGGGACTTCTAAATAAATTTCTAAACAATATAGACACTTTTTTCATTATAAAAGTAGTACACATTTTATTTTTCCACTATTGATGTGTAATTAGTTTAGTTCCATATCTTGGTTACTGTGAATAATCTTGCAATGAACATCGGAATGCATGTATCTCTTCAACTGGTTCATTTCATATTTTTTGTATATATCCCTAGTACATATTCCAATATTGGGATTTTAATATTCTATTTTATATATATGTGGTATATATATCCAATGAAATACTAGTCAACATTTAAAAAAGAAGGAAATTTTGTCATTTCCAGCAACGTGGATAAACCTGGAGGACACTGTGTTAAATGAAATAAGCCAGGCACAGAAAGACAATTACCACATAATCTCGCTTATATGTGAAGTATAAAAATGTGAAACTTATAAAAACAGAGTAAACTGGTGTTTATCATAGGCTGGGGGTAGGGGAGGGGGGATTGGGCAAATGTTAGTCAAAGGACATAAAATGTTAGACAGAAAAAATAAGTTCTAAAGACTTATTGTACGTCATGGTGACTACAGTTACTAACAATGTATTATATATTTGAAAATTGCTAAGAGAATAGATTTAAAGTGATCTCAAACCAAAAAAATGATATGTGAGGTAATGTATATGTTAAATTCTTTGATTTAGCCATTCTACAATACATAGATATATTAAAACATGTTGTGCACCATAAATATACACAATTTTTTCTTGTCAATTAAAATTGATTAGCCAATTTTTTAAAATAAAATGATTAATGTTTATAGTGGAGCATTTGGAAATACATAACGAACAAGAAAAGAAATATATTCATAATCTTAATATCCATAGAAAACCACCTGTTAATGTTTTAGTATAATGTCTATTTTTCTGGCAAGCACAGACACATATACAGTTGGAATATTATCACTATAGAGTTGTATATTTCACATTTCTCACTTAATATTTTTATAATAATATTTGTATTAAATGCCTCACTTAGGCACTGTCAAATTTAGCTGTTACTTCCTTTCAGGGGTGAATTGTGGCTTAATTTTTATTTTCCTTTTTAAATATAACTGAAAGGAAAGTTTCCGGTGAGCAAAAGACACAGACCAGTAAAATTACATATGAAACACTCTGAATCTTTTGATTACATATAAAATACTCTGTCAGAGATGAAATTCTTTGATAACCCAAACATTCTTCAAACACTAGAACTGTAGGAATACATCGTCAGCCTACACTGAAGACCTTTCAAAGACAGCCTGGCCAATAGTCAAGTTTTATTACCTTCCTTACAGAAGAAATTGTGTGTCATGTGACATCTATGATTTTTTTTAAGTTATTGATCTACAAGGGAACCAATTTTAACTCAATTTACTTATAAAGACATAAAATGGAAATAATAAGCAGGGCAGATTTCTAAACAAAGGAACATTAAACAAATTCTCCTGTGTCATCTTCACAATGCGTCCTGTATTTATTGGAAGGGGTAAAGAAACATAAGACCCATTGCTCAAGAAGAATTTTTAAAACCATAGTTGATTAATTATTTCTGCTTCCCATAAAAATAAAAAAGAAAACAATGATTGCATAGTGTTTTCAAGGAACATCCTATTACAAATTCCTTGAAAACACATTGCCCATGAATATGTGATAATTTGTCATGCAGATGGCCATAACTTATTCACCCATTTTTCTATTTAGTTCAGTTATAAATTTTGTCACAAGTCTGCAAATATAATACTGTGCAGGAGAAGAGTGATATATTGCCTCACCCATTGCTGGGTTCATGGCTGGGACCCTAAAACAATAGACAGGTTAACAAAACAAAAACGTACACATTTATTTAAAATCAGTTTTGCAAGACACAGAAGCTTTCAGAAATAATGACCTCCCTAAACAGGGCACACTGTATTTTTATGCACAGTCTTGCAGGGTATTATTGGAGGACAAAAAGATATAGTATAAAGGTAATAAACTGGGAGGACATAAATAAGATCTGTTTGTTCAGACTCTTTGTATTCCTTATGCCTGTGTGACACTTCTTTCCTCTAGGTACAGGAAGGACCCCTCTGGAATGAGCGTCTTATGACTCACTTTACAGGAAGGTCAGATAATTCTTTTATGGCCTGTTTCAGGGAATAAGGGTAGGGGAAAGTCAGACTTTCCTGTTTCTGCTGGTTTTCCAAATGCTGAGGTGCCATATTTCGAAGTGGTATGTCCTGAACATCAACATTCACCTGTCTGAAACTTCCCTAAGACATTGTATAGTCCAGAAACTGAGTTGGTGGATTGTCCCATAAGCCATTCAACCGGTTTCTCAGACCCCAGAATAGATAATCTCAGTTAAACGATTAAATGGTTTGTCTCAGTTCAGGAGATGACGTTGTAGGCTGGCTTCCACCTAAGTTAGGCCTCTATATGGTGTGATCAGCCAGTTACTTCATAAGAGGCATTTCTATAAAAACAAAAGGAAAACAAATGTTAGTGGTTACAACAAGCTACAAATTCAGATTTTTTTTTTTTTTTTTTTTTTTTTTAGTCTAGAAAGCAACCGTTTGGGAAGATTTCTATATTCAAGCCTAAAGCATCTTCAAATGGAGTGAGGGCTGGCAGTGTCCAGCTGACAGATTTTCCTGGTTTGCAGTTTACATCAGGTGTTTCAGTGAACTTTTTTGAGTAGCTAATTTATCAATAGTACAAAGGTTGTCTGTACATAAGCTATTGTGATGTTCTCTCCAAAGTCTGTAACTAGAATTTATTTTGTGCTTACTATGTCCCAGCACTGTTATAAGTACTTGTATTTTAATATTTACATATCTTAACTCACCAAATCATCACAGCAGCACTATATGGTAAGAACTATCATTCATCCTCATTTTATAGTTGAAAACATTAAAGCACAGAGAAACTTGCCCAAGGTCACAGGGTAGTAAGGCATGAAGACAAGGATTTGCATATACTAATAGCTACTTGAAAAATTAAAAGTTTTAATAGCATTAACTCCAAATAGCTCCAGTTTCATGAACTATACTTTAACTATTTGTGCAAGCTTAGGCCAATATTATATAATTTGCTCTAAAACACTGGATAAAAATATATTTAAAAATTATACTTGTATTCTATAGATCTACTATGATCATATTTCCAAAGTCTAATAAAAGAAAGGGAAAACTGTGGTTTAATATTTATTCTAAATGTACAGGCAAAAACACCAAATATAAGCAAATTGAAATAAACCACTAATAAATAAAAGTTTATCTGCCAATTTACAAAGGTGACTTATGTTACTCATAAAATAAACCAGAGTCATATGCTGATTGCAAAATTTGTTCAGAAAGGGTAGCAGACTAGCACTTGCAAGATAAGCCTCCCGTGGCATATACTATGGTCATATTTGTCTGATCTACTTTCTGTTTAAAACATTAGTCTTGTTGAAAAATAATTGAAAATGCCCTCTTTTTTTCCTCCTCTTCCTCCTACCTGTTCAGTCTGGGAGTATTTCTCTGAATAAATATATAGAAAGAGAAAGAATGGTACCAAGTTGATCTTGAGAGAGGACTTTTGATGTGGCATAAAATTTCAGTCTTGTAAGCTTAGATCATTGTCCCTACCCGGGTAAGTGGTGGGTGGTATTTTGTTGCTGTTAGGTCTATTTTCTTCATCTGTTATTTCACATAACAGTAAAACAGAGATTCAGATGATTTATATAACTTTCATTAGTTTCATTAGGTGGTGTCTTAGCATTAGATGCTCTCTGAAAAAAGAACCTAAAACAAGGTGCATGTAAAGACGTTTTATTTGGGAAATGATTTCCGGCAGCAGTAAGTGGGAGACTGGTAAGATGGAACAGAGAAGAAGGGCAAAGCAAGGGAAAGCTGGATTCTCCAGCTGATCTCCACCGTGGGTAACTTGAGTACCATCCCACCAGGATCCTTCACGGAAATGTATTAAATATGCGGCAGACTTGTTCATCTAAGGAACCAAAGATGGGAATGTTTATCCACTAATGCTAGTATCTCACGGTCAGTGATTGCCATAGGGGAAAGTAATGCCCAACACTTCTAGGCTGCACATGGGTGTTCGTTAGGCAGAGTCTCTCAGGCATCTCCACTGCAATGTCAGCAAAGCTCTGGGGAAGAAAGATAGAAGGGGCCGGGTGCAGCGGCTCACACCTGTAATCTCAGCATTTTGGGAGGCTGAGGGGGGCAGATCACCTGAAGTCAGAGTTCAAGACCAGCCTAGCCAACATGGTGAAACCCCGTCTCTACTAAAGTGACAAAAATTGGCCAGATGTGGTGGTGGGCACCTGTTATCTCAGCTACTCAGGAGGCTGAGTCAGGAGAATTGCTTGAACCCTCGAGGAAGAGGTTGCAGTGAGCCGAGATTATGCCATTGCATTCCAGCCTGGGTGACAGAGGGAAACTTTGTCTCAATAATAATAATAATAATAATAATAATAATAGTAATAATAGTAAATGAAAACTAAAAAGAAGGCTCTGCAGAGACACAACCGCACAAAGCTAGCTGGCTCATTCATGGCTGGAGTAAATGGTAGACCAAGATTATGTACCCCCGATTTTAAAGTCACACGTAGAATAATCATATCAGTAAATATTTATTTAACCTATTATGTAATAGGCATTGTGATAAGTGCTGGAATATAAAGGTGAACAGGATATAGTTTCTGTCATTGGGTGGCTTACAGTCTAATGTAAAAGACAGGCAAGTAAAAAGAAATTATAATACAATAGGATAAGTGCTACAATAATTATTAAGTTCTCCATGCTATGAGAAGATACAGGAAAGGCAACTAATCTAGACTTGTGGGAGTTGGAAAAGATTTTCCAGTTCATATTAATTCCAAGTTAATAACTTCTTATGTTGTATTTGGTCATAAGGTTTTCTGAATCTTTGAGAAGATAAAATGAAACCAATTTTAATCTATTTTTGGACAGCATAAAACGCTAGTGGAATCACATTTACCTGGCACATCTCTTCTTTAATGTATAGAAAATTATAGATTCCCCAGTTTGGATATGGAATTCCTTTTAGGTATGACTGTTACCATTTTCTAATTATGTATATTTTAAATGAAAAAATGTTCTTATTCTTTTCATATTTTAGTAATGTTATTTAATCTATTTCACCTTTGATGTCTGCTGATAAATACTCTCCATGATTCTGGTCTATAATTTTTAAATGTATTCTTTATGCTTTAAAAAATCTCTAGTATAAACTACTTAGCCACATCCAAAGTTAAACATGAAATTATCATAAAAGTTTCAAAATAATATCTTAGTTATCAAAAGGACCATTGTGAATACACACGCTGCTTTCTGAAAACAAACACTTTAACAGTGAAAATAAATGTCAAAAGCATTAATCAATAAGCATCATATCTAAGCTGAAAAGTCATTATGTATCAGTGACTAAAACATTTTGTCCTTGCTGACAAAAACTTCCTTTATGGTAGACTGTATTTAGGTCACTTTGATCCTCACTGAAACTGTTAATACACAAGAAAAATCACAGATGCATATATCTCTTTTGAGCAACAACGAAAAAACATTAAATGGAGAAATGATTAAAGTTAGACAGCATCCCCTTTAAAATATGTAGGTTTTAAAAATAACATTATAAAGGTCTCAGAACTATACACTGGTACTTGATAAATACAGTTTTGAAATTAAAATTGTGCTGTAATTTACAGTTTTGAAATAGCTGTATTCAAAAAAGTCTCTCTATGGTTACACCCAGAAAGGAAATCATTGTAAAAATCACTATAAATGGGAATATGATGACAATGGGGTGACTTTGGCTATACTTTACTAATTTGTCAGAATGCTGGTAGCCCAAAGAGATACTAAGTGGAATATTTTGTAAAGATTTTGAAGCATTAACATAAGTTTCATGATTTAAGGAGAAAAATGCCATAGACAATTCCTTCAGATTATCAAATAGTGCATTTCTCAGTCTTCTACCTGGACTTACATCTGGATGATTCTATATGTCATTCTGGCTTTGTCCTGTAACTTTCCATTGTCATTGTGGCTTTACACCCTAACCCTCTATGCCAGTGCACAAAACAGCAAATTTTAAGGAAGAGAGGTGGAGCTCAGGATATAGAAATGTTTGGTTGTCCCTGCTAAAGAGCAAGCAGAGATGTTTGAGCACCAGCTATGGATATACACAGACCTTAGAATCCCCTGTCTGCCACTCCTGCACTTAAAATGGCTGTTCAGTAAGGGAAGATAATGGAGACGGAGTTTTGAAACTGGCTTCTCTCAGAAGTGGCAGCAGGAAACTGGAAGTTGAACACCTGCTCTCCACCTAGGGTAGACCTACCTCACAGGTATTGGCAAATTGGAATTTACCCATTAGCCTAGTCTGCCTGATTTTTCTCTTGACTCTATGCATTCTAAGGCCCACACAGCAGTTAAGGTCATCTATTTAATAGATCTTCCTTCTCCTCTTATTCAGGAGAATCTGCAAAGTCCCTCCATAGCCTGCATGACCCTGAGCTGCCTGCCTCTCTAACCTCATTTCCAACAATCCCCGCTCTGTTCTCAGCCACACTTAGGAAACAAACACAAAAAGCAACTCACAAACATAGCATTTGCACTGTTCTTCCCTCTTCTCAGAATGCTTATTTCCAATATCGCTTCATGGCTTCTTCCTTAATTTATTCAGGTCCCTTCGGTCTTTCCTTACCAGGGCAAAGACCTCTGCCTACATATAGAAAACACTGTCCTCTCCACCACTTTCTATTCCTTTCCCTGCCTTATTCTTTACAGTACTTATCACCTAATATAATCAATGTGTATTTATTTTGTCAGCATTTTTTGCCTCATATGAATTGGAAGTACCTTCAGGCATGAACTTTATCTGTTTTGTTCAATGGTACTTTTATCCCTAGTATCTACAACAGTGACTGCTACATTGTTGGCACTCAAAAAACAGTTGTTGAGATATAGAAAAGCATGGAAGGAGACCTGACAATTTGCTCAATTTTATTAGCACTGTCAATAAGCTTATAGTTTCATTGGTCATAGCAAATTTTTCAGACCTCTGAAAATTCCCTCTGGTGGCAAATGGGATCCTCCAAAGCTACTCCAGTGTAAATTTCATTTGTGAAAGCCATCGAAAATGTTCAAGAGATATGAGATCTTATTGAAGGGTAATCAGAGAATCTTACCCTCAAGTACATTTAAAAACAGCCATATTACAACTTTAGCATACTTTTAACCTGTTTCCAGGCCACCGGATATGTTTGATGCTAAGCATAACACAGTTAAAATTGGTTTTATGGAATTTTCTAGACTCACTAACTTGTGCTCAAATGGAACAATGCTGTTGATTAGAAATCCATTCATCAACAGACTATATGGGGCACTGACAGGAAAATGCCCTTGATTGCAAAATTGCCCACATTTTCTCTCAACGAATCTAGCAGTA